TCGACCATCCAAAACTCGGGCACTCCTTCTTCGACCATACGCGCATCCACACCGTATTGTGCGTACGCCTCCTCATCATGGCCCGCTTCGACCGCGACCAACATATCTTCTCCGACTGCGAGCACTTCGGATCCTCCGGCCAAGACCTCGATGTGTTGCGCGTACCGTTCCCGCGCATACATTTTGCACCCATCACCCACGACCAAGATCGCACCAATGACCTCGGCCACTTCGACTTCTTTGGATCCGACCAAGGTTCCCTCGACTTCAAACTCGAAAAGGTATTCCTCGGGGTATACATTGAGAATAGGAGATCCATCTAACCTAATCGAGACTCGCTCACCCATGCGCTCGGCTTCTTGCTCGCACAATCCTGGGAACTTCTCATCGGCCTCGGCTTGTTGCTCTTCCTCCATGATCCTGAGTTGTCTTTCATACTCCTCCTTTTGTTCGTACATCTCCTCCAAATATTCTTGCTCCCAAGGGGTTAATTCTCTCTCCAACCCCTCCAAATATTCAAGATCCTCCCAATCCAACTCAACTAATGGTGGGTAAGACATATTTTTTTTTATGACTCAAAGAATTCGAAATAAAATTCGAATCAAACAAAAAAAAAAATAATAAAACAAAGAGAAATTCGGTCCCTCAACAAAGGTAATAACAAGATGACACTTTTTTTTTTTAAGACTAAATTCCGAAAATTAAAAGGGAAAATTCGAACAAAAAATTCGAACCCCAACAAAAAATAAAGAGAAATTCGGCCCCTCAGCAAAAGGCAAACCGAAAAAAAGAAAAAGATAGGATAGATAAAGACACGATCAGCACCTCTCAATGAAAGCACCAATGATGACGGATCGTGTTGTTATCTATGCGGTTGGGTTGTGAATAAACGCGCACTAGGGCCTTCGTTTATCCACGATAGGTGTATCTAACAGATGCACTATCGGCCTTCTCCTAGACACTGTGACTTCAAGACGCTCTAACGGCCTTCTCTCCGACACTGTATGTGAACACGCACTAACGGCCTTGTTTAAACACACGTTAAGAACATCAGTTCCCCCTCAAGATTGGCTCACCAATTCAATACTCAATTCAAGACATCCAATAATGATGAGGTACATGGGGTATTTATAGGTGCCAACTACCTCTAATGCTAATC